TCAGTTTCCATTTGCGGAGTGGCCTTCTCTCCTCGGGCCGGCTTGCGAGTGCAGAGCGCGTGTGCCCAGTGCTGAGGGTGTCCCCGGTGCACTGTGCTGTGTTTGGACAGTAAATGGACGGCCCCTCTCTGACTTCTTGTAGCCAGCTCTCACCTGGTGCCAAACCGCCTGTAGCTTAGCAAGCCCTCCTAGAACCTCAGCAGAAAGGTATTTTGCAAAATTTGTCGTTGTTGCAAATTAAGCGCTTTAATTTTTCTTGTGGTGTCGTAACAAATTGTATAGACTCAGTGCCTTAAAAGAGCACAATATATTATTTTAGGGTCGTGGAGGTCAGAAGTCTGAAGTGGGTCTCATTGGGCTAAAATCAGCGGGCCGCCGGGCTGATTCCTTCTGGAGGCTCCGGGGGAGAATCCCTCGCCTTGTCCTTTTCCGGCGTCTAGAGGCTGCCCACGTTGTTCGGCTCACGGCCCTTCCTCCGCCTTCAGAGGCAACGGTGACCAGTTGGGTCCTTCTCAGGATGCCACCTCTTTGCTTCTGGCCCTGCTGCCTCCCTCCTCCCCCATTGAATACTCTCCTGTGAGCACCTTGGCCCTCCCGGAGGATCCGGGGATAATCTCTTTGTTTAAGATCACCCGAGGAGCAGCCCTGTCTAGCTGCACCCTTGCCGTGTGAGGGAACGTATTCACAGGCGGAGGAAGGCAGGACCGTGACGTAGATTCCGAAATGCCCTTCCCACGTGTCTCGGGGAAAAAAAAATCATGGGAAGTAACGGTTCTACAAGTGTGAAAACCCCGTGTCCTTCCCAACTGAAAGTAACTTTTAATTTAGCCTTGTGTTTCCCCTGAGGCATAATTTATAGCTGTCAAGTACTCAAACCACATTTGGTAATTTATGCAACTTTTTCTGTAGACCGTTTAGTGCCAAATTCAATCCTCCTGTCATAATTGAGTCCTAAAATCGTTTAAAAGTTGTTGCATAAACATCGTAGGAACATCAGATTTATAGCTTTCTGAAGGTAGGTACGGGCGTTTTTCTTTTAGGTAAAGAGAATACCTTTATGTTATTTTAGTTGAGACATCCCATATTCCTGAAATGCAGAAAGCAAACACCCCTGTGATCTTGTCCCTCAGATAGAACCCCTTTGGACGGTTTGCTTTGGACGGAGACTTCCAGGAGGTAAAGTGCCAGTTGTTGGCCTTGTTTGAGGCATTTTTGCACAAAGCAGGGCATCCTGACGTCCTCTAGTCTGTAAGTGTCAACCTAACGTTGATTCTGTTCCAGCTGTTGTCCACTGTTACGAATGAAAACTCTGGGGGCGCCTGGGTGGCTCAGTTGGTTAAGTGTTTGACTCTTGGTTTCGGCTCAGGTCATGACCTCACCTCTTTCTCGAAAGAAAGAAAGAGAGAAAGAGAAGGAGAGAGAGAGAGAGAAAGAGAGAGAGAGAGAGGGAGAAAGAAAGAAAGAAAGAAAGAAAGGAAGAAAACGAATTCAGAATCTGAGTCTCAAAAATTTGGACACTAAATAACTTTGTGACTTTGTAGTTGTAGTGGACCTAAGATAAAGGCTTCGTGCTCAACGTGTTTGAAGGTGAATGTCGTACGGCTCTTCTGGTTGCTGTAGGACAAATGATCTAGGGTTGTGTGGGCAGCTCGCGGCTGGCCTGGCGCTCGCGTGGTGTCGTCAGGTGGGGGGTGGGGCATCTGGGCCTGCTGTTAAGCTCTGGTTAGACTCTCATCTCAGTGACAGCATCTTGGGTCAGAAAAGACTGTAGCCGACAGGTTTCTATTTTTAGTTGTGATCGACTTCTTTGAAGATTAGAGCTGTTTCAAAAATAGCTGTTTTCCTACTGTTGGTGATCTAAAATCGAAGTGATACATCTGTTTCTGAAGTCATATTTTGTAAATTGGACACGTTAGTGTCTTTTTAATGTTGGTATAAGTTCCTAATTACTTTCTCTACAATTGAGTTCCCAAGCCCTTCTGTTTTAAAGGTCTGAGAAAAATGTTGAGTTTGTTGAAAAAGACCCATTTATGCTTAAATCACTGAAGTCATATTTTTTAATTCTTTTTCACTCTGTGTTTAGTTAGTTCCTATCTGCTTTTAGCATAAAAACTTTTGAATAACATGATTAATACATATAAATATATACTTGTAAACATTTCAGAATACAGTAATAGTTCAGGAAATAACGAAGGTCTGGCCAGTCATCTGACAGCATGTAACAGAAAATCCGGTTAACTATTGGCCTAAGCAATAAGAAAACAGGTTCATATAATCAGAAACCTGGGACTCTGCCTGCCTTTGTTAGGGGTGTCCGAGCTGGACTTTGCTCAGCGGGTCTGGGCGGCGCCCCGGGTGGTTACAGCCCTGTCTTCAGAGCAAGGTGACTGTCCCAATGTTTCCCTTCACATTTGAGTGGCTCCTGTGCCTATGCTCTTCTCCCCCCTCCTGCCAGGGTCCTGCCGGCAAGGCAGTACCCTGCGCAGAGGGTGACTTGTGGTCCGCAGCCCCCTGGAGCCGCCTGTGGGTGTGGGGGCCACTGTGTGCTCCCTAGTCCTCCTGTCTCCACGTGTCCCCTGGAGTGACGAGAGCGGGGTCATACTTGTAGTCACACATGCAGGGAGAGAGGTTTATGTTAATGGGATTATGCTTTGAATTACCCTTAGTAATTATTTTGAAGTCTCCCCTTTCCCTCCCTCTCTCTCCCTCTCTCTCCCT